CCCGTGCCTCCAGGACCATCTACGAAAAAAACTTGGCTCTTATTAGCAAATACATGCTCAATGATTTCATCATAGAAAAATAAGTAAAAGAGTTTGAAACACGATTCTACGCATCACTACGAACACATAGTCGCAAGAAGCACTCTAATCGGAGCAAAGTTGGAAAAGATACATCTACCGATAGATCTGCTTTATACGTGGAAAAGAAACTATAGGCTTCATTTATTTGAACTATTGAAAATAATATAAATTGAATTAAGTCAAATTTAGATTTGAATTATAAAACTAAAATAAAACAAGTCATATTTTATTTATGAAACCAGTTGCATAATTATTATCGAAATTAGAAGTTAAACCATGAAATTCTAGTATTAGTGACATGATAAACATTGTCACTAACACGTAGATCTCGTTGTAATGAATCTAACACAACTTGAATGGGTCAATTCGGAGCTAAAATATAGAAAAGATAAAATAAACAAGATTTCCTTTAGTAAAATAATAGATTAAATCTAACCTCAAATTTTAAAACTTGAAAACCCACTTAATAGTAGTATGAACATGTAGATTATGGAATTACGAACCTAACGCAATTTGAACGGATCAAAACAGAGTTCAAACAAAGATTTTATGGCTAAAACAAGATTAGTGGCAAAACTGTAAATAGGTGAAAACGTACTTTGGATCTAAACCGAAGAAACTACGCTTTGCAAAGAAGAAAACGTAATCTGTGATTGCGCTTTGGACCGTGGGTTTGAAAACAGAAAACTGGAGTGGCTCTTTAGGAAGATGGCCTGCGAAGGGGCCGGTATGGGATGATCTAGACCATTGGATCGAAGATGGACGGCTCAGATTAAAAGAGATGGAAGCAGAGAAATGAGAAGAGACAGAGGCACGAGAGTTGTCGTGGGGAAGGAGGAAAGGCTGATTCTATTCTCCACGGGAAATACAGCAGGAAAATAGAAAAGACCTGTGGTTTTCTATTCTCTTGCGTTCCCATTCAACGAAAGGATGGTGTTGGCGACGTGGCTTCCTAGAAAATATGCTAGCGGGATTCTCTTGTTTAGGTATAGTAGATAAGTGTAAAGAACTCATCGTCTCGGTGCCTAGTTTAGGTGACTCGAGCTCGGTCACCGATCAGGGTTTTCCGTTCCTCCCTCCTCGTTCCCGTCCTAATCCCACGTTGATCTCAGGATTTGAGTCCAATTTCCTAAATCACGTTTGCGTCCACTGTCAGATATCTCCGAAAAGGAGCGTGGACTCAAATTGCTAGCCCACGTGTGTGTCTTCTCGCTGGTGACCCAGTGTTTGTGGCTGCCGGGGAGCAATTTCCCCTGAGGATGGAGAGGGTCACGGGCCTTCTCGAGAAGATGAAGCTCTTGGCATCGGAGAAGAAGGGGATACCTGAAGGCGATCTGCAGAAGGCATCCGAAAATGCACACACCATCAGTGAAGGCGGGACTAGCGGACCAGTCCTACGTGTCCCAACGAAGTTCATGGCATGGAACTGCCGGGGCCTTGGCAACGCCCTGACAATGCGTGGACTTCTGCGGTGTCAGAGGTCAGTTCAGGCAGACATTCTTTTCCTGTCTGAAACACGCTTGGATGATCGTGGAATGGAGAGGATAAAGTTTTCTTTGGGGCTGTCTAATCTTCTGGTGGTAAAAGGGGATGGAAAAGGAGGGGGAATTGTAGTGTTATGGAGGACTTGGGTTAATGTGAGTTTGCGAACTTATTCAATTAATCACATTGATGTTGATGTGGTGGAGGATGACGGTTTTGCTTGGTTATTCACTGGTATATACGGAGAGCCAAGGATGGAGCTGAAGCATCGAACTTGAAAATTATTGAGGGACCTTCACGGCTGCGAGATATGTCGTGGCTGTGTGCGGGAGACTTCAATGAGATTCTCCATCACCATGAGAAGGAAGGGGGTGCCATGGTCATAGGCGTGCTTGGAGATAGTGTCTTCGTCTTTGATAAATACTTTTTCAATGTAACCCTAACATTTGTAATATAAATCTTGATGGATTTGTGATCTATGTGAATCTAGTCTACATAGCAAATATAGAGTACCACACAAAAATATAAAATAAATTATAAAATAACAAAATGCAAAAAAGAGATCATCGCCGGTTCACCAAACACTGGCAGTGATGATTGACATAGCACTGCCGGCTCAAGTACTGAATCGGTAGTGTTGCCAAACTCAACACTGCCGGTTGCAATCCTATCAAGTATAAGCTCGGTCTTTGCTCAAAAAAGTATAAACTCAGTCAAGGTTCAACTAGTTTGACTTGGAAATATCCCAAACTTGCATTCTTTTGTAGACCGAGGGAGTAACATACATCCAAATTTTCTATATACCATGAAAGCTTTACATCTTTTAGATAAGTGCAAAGATGGTCATCACACATTTCACAAAACTATTCGCTGTAACAAGAATATCTGAGAGCATAAAGTGATCCGTACGTGCCAAAGGAATCTAGACACAAGTTCTAGTGTTCCTTGGACTTGGAGTTGGAGAGTAGGTTAGCATAATCACCAGGGCCATAGACCTCAAACAGTTCCGAAAAGAACCCTTTCTTCCTCCAAGGATTGCACCCCATGTCACGGCAGAGCTGGTCGTTGTACCAAGTGTTCAGGATCATGATGCTGGACCGATGGAAGTATCTTCCATAGTATCTCTTCATGCACATCCTTCTGCATTGCCGCGACGTTCGGTAGTCTGAAGCTGCCGTCCAAGAAGCGTGCCAACCACTTGGCGCGAATGTCCGAAGCGTAGATGTTCGAATGGGTGTCAGAATATCCGATCACGGCGAGCTGAGGTATCTTAGGATTTATGCACTCTCTGTTTGTGAAACATGCATGTTTGAAAATTTAGCACGACTCATAAATGATGGCCAAGATCGAGAGTTAAAATTAGGACAAATGGTGAGAAACACATATATACATATATACCTGTAGCGAGGCACAGTAGTGGATTCTGACCCAATCGCGACGTTCCGGAAGTACTCTTATATCAGTTCAGGTCAAACATGACCACCATCAACCTGCCGCCAGCTACTGAGTCGCTAGATATGGCCATGCCATTTAGGTTGGGGTGGGGGTTGCAATCGCACCTGGCTTGCGCTAGCTTTCCCAGGGCTGCCCCCAGCTGCGCCTGCTAGCCCCTAGCTGCCGCCGGATCTGGCCTCTGGCGACCCTCCAATTACCCGGACCAAGTTAAGCTACCGCCATTGGCTCACACTCAACTTAATCATCTTTAAACATGAGTTGTTCTAACTTATATAAGCATAGCTCATGAGTCCGCATCATATACACAACCCAGTACATCTTGGAATCGGACTCCGTATCGTGCTAGACGTGAGCTGTTCTAATTCGCATGAGCACAGGTTATATAAGTCTGGACGAAAGAAACTACACTATCAGGTAGTTAGGGGAAGCGAACCAAAAAAGGGCTAAAATTTTGGCTCTTTAATTAATAATATGTCAGGTATAGGTAGATCTAGAACACATAAATAATTGGAGACGATGAGAGTAGATATAGATATAGATAAAAATTTCAGCAAATTAATTACATAAAAGCATAGATCTATAGATACATCGAAATCTTTATACTAAAGAATATTATATTATATGTTTACTGTGTAGCCCTAGTTAAAGGGAGTGTAACAAAACTGGTTTCTTATTTTTGTAAGTTTTATATGATTTTTAAAATTCTCAACTGGTTCAAAAGAAAAGAAAACAGAAAAGAAAGGAAAAGGCCTACCGTGCGGCCCGTATTTTCGTGATTTTTCCTTGATTTTTTATGATTTTTAGAATTCTAAACTGGTTTAAACGTAAAGGCAACAGAAAAGAAAGGAAAAGGGCTTATGTGCGGCTGAGCCATGGGCTTCGGCCTAGCCCGCAGCGCAGCCTGAGGCCGAATCCAAGGCCCACCACAGTAGGCCCAAGCAAATAAAAGGATTTTTTGCATCAGGAACCCTAAATTTGTTTCTAAAATCGCTTAAGCCCTTCTATTATTTCTTTGTCTCTAGTATCTTTGCATCTGGAACCACGTTATTTCTTTCACATTCCTCCCTCAACCCCTTCTTCTTCTTCTTCCGTACTGAACGCGACTTCGAAAAGAAACGAGGAAAGAAACGACCAGACATAAAAAATAGAATCCGAATAGATATCAGAGTTGAACAGAAATTTATTAGTTCTTTCACATTCCTCCTTGAACCCCATCTTTTTCTTCTTCCGTACTGAACACGACTTCGAAAACAAACGAGGAAAGAAACAACCAGACATAAAAAATAGAGTCCAAATAGAGATCAGAGTTGGACGAAAATTTATTAGTGGTTAAAATGTTGCCTCTTTATTATTAGGTATAGAGTATAGATATATGTTTATGTCAGGTAAGGTACTCTACTGTCACATAAGTGGGCCATCGACATGGGCTATCGGCTCGAGCGCTGGACATGTGGGGTGGACTTTGGGCCTGCTTAAGCAAACTGCACAGGGAGGGAAGATAATACGAAGTCGTCGTCTACCTCCGTCTTGGACTCAGCTTCCTCGCTGTTCTTGCTATCTCTACCCCTGATTCCTTGCTGTACCTAGTCCAACTCTCTCTAATCCTTCCCAATTTGCAGTTACTCTTGCATAATTGCTATTCAGTAGTGAAGGATCGTAACAGTTTATCAGTTGTTAATTAACGATTACAGAAGTCCCTATGTCCCTAAAAGAACGCAGCTATGATATGCGTGTCAGTTAAAGTGCTTCACGTTTAACCAAGTTTTTAATAAATAGTATTCATATTTATGACTCCAAATCAATTTATTATGAAAATATATTTCGTAATTAATGTAATGATATTTATTTGATATTATAAATATTTATACGTTTTTATCTATAATTAGCCAAACTTGGTATACAAAAATATGATATTGTTCCAGAATTGCATTCTTTTGGGACGAAGGGAGTACTACCAATAACTGAATGCGTTAGACATTAGTTTATATAGTTACCAAGGGAGTCAGGAGAGTGGCCAAGATCGACAGGAGGAGGCCCTCGCCAGGCTTGTGGACGAGGAGTTCAGAGAAACAGTTGAGAGTGAAGTTTTTGCCATTGATGCCCCAGACGGAGTAGTCCGGTACGATCCAGTGCTTTGTCCGGACCACCATTGTACATTGGTGAGCAGTGCCTACAGCACAAACCAACGTTAAGTGGATGTGTACAGAACATTTTTAAATACTGTAACTCTGAAGTTTTAGTTCTAACAACTGTTCAAAATGCTATAAGATATATACAAATATCAATTTGGATTGTCAAATAGATAATATTAGACTTCCAGAGGGAGTGATGAAGAGGACTATATATCTACGCCGTACCATTTACTTCGGAACATTCAGCGGCAATATGAAGTGCAGATTTCATGTAGCCAACGACAGTCACACGCTTGCCCCTGATCATCTCCTTAGCTTTACTTGTGCCCATTTTGGCATAATCCATGGAGTGGATCACCTGCCCATCAAATACTTCTGGACCTTTACCTGCTGGGAATGTGGGTATGTCGGGCACACCACTGAACATCCCTATGCAAAGAACGACAAAGTCTGCTTTGTGTGTCTGCATAAAGGTAAAAACCAATTTCTGGATTAGACAACAGTACTCTGTATGTAAACATGCATACTCTGTTGTTGTTTGTTTGTAGGCTCAAGTTATTTTTTTAATTCCTAGGTGCATATTTATATTATGGTCTTTTTGGGTTGCCACAACTACAGCATGGGTTGTATGGAGTAAAATAAAGCACTAGACTAGATTTTACCAGCCTAGCTGAGTTCACGCAATTGCGAGGTCCTGTTTGGATCGCCTAGAACTAGGTATTAGTCTAACTCCTCTAAAGTTTAGTCCTATTTGCATACATGGACTATTAGCTACTACTAGTGATTTGTGGTGGATCTAGAAATTCATAGAAGAGGCGGCTAAAGTTCATCTTCAAGCTCTAGTGCTCATTCTTTCTATTTTCTATGTCTATATATAAATTAGGAGAGACTAAAGGAGATACTCCATTGTCACGGAAGCAGAAGGAGGGCGGAGGTGGCGTCCTTGGGTGGGAGAGCTTGAGCCCTGCCTGCCCCACCGCTGGATCCGTCCACGTTAGTGAACTAGTTGTTGTTAGTTAGGGACTAAAAAAATAGTCCACCCATTTAGATGGTTTAGGACTGAACTTTAATTTTGGTATCGAAACTGTCCACAACTGTTGAGTTATGCTGAAAAGATATGAATTTTGTTGGGTTACTTACATATATAAATCCAGATCTGTTCAGGTATATATGTCCATATCTCTATCTTTACACCTAAAAAGACTCTAATGTCATCATCTACCCGGTGATACCAAACTTTGATCACCTTCACGTGTCGGAGTCCGATACGTATCATACTGTACTCAGAGCTCACACGTCCGTGTCCTACCCGGTTATAATACGAATACTATATCCATGTGTCCGTGTCCGATACGAAGTCCTCGGAGCTCATGCGTCCGCGTGAGATTACTGAGATTCAATTTAAAAAATTGTGACTTCAGTGCAACGCACGGGCATATATCTAGTCCATATATATTTACTTATATCCACGTCCATGTCCATGTCCATAGCTAAACGGATATAGATATGCTCACGCAACAACCATTCGATACGAATATTGCTGTCACACATACATGAAAAAATAATTTTCCAAATATGGATATGGACATATATTTGAATTCTTTTCAGAAATAATATCATATCTGTATTCACTACGTAGAAAACGATTTTTAGCAACGGTTCGATTTTTTTTGTAGGGGCGGCTGGTGATGGAGCCGCCCCTACAAATGGGGTCTGATTTGTAGGGGCGGCTCAATCACCAGCCGCCCCTGGAAATGGTATTTGTAGGGGCGGCTGGTGATTGAGCCGCCCCTACAAATGGCCCCGTATTTATAGCACCGATTTGTAGGGGCGGCTCAATCACCAGCCGCCCCTACAAATGCCCCCCAAATAAAACAGATGAATCTCCTTCTTCCTCCTCGGGTCACTCACTCCAACCCGTGAAAAAAATATGAGACCTTGGGCACCTCCCAAAAATTGCTCTACTAAGGGTGAAGGTTTTGGTCTCAAATCCTTTGGTGGAGAGGTTGTAGAAGGTAAGAAAATGCTATTCCAAACTTTTTTTGAAGTTTTCATGGTTGGTTAGTGAGTAATTAGAGTTTTGTTTTTCTCTCTCTTCTATGGTGCTTGAGCTATTTATGAGCAAATTAGACCCAACTTTTAAATGTACTAGGATAAATTAGGGAGGGGAACAAGATCATACCCTTATTTGGTCCATGTTTCTTGATTTTAGTGAACCATTAGTTAGTTTTATGGATGTTTCATATGCATGTGATCTAGATCTAGGGTTTGGTTTTTTTATTAATATCATTTTGTAAATTTATGTTTGATAAAATTGGACTAGAGTTTGTATGAAAGATATTGGGTAAAGTATAATTATTGCTAATTGTTGTCTTTGAAATTGTTTATTGTAATCAATAAATATGTATTTTAATTATTTATGGATAAATGGGCCATTAATTAATTTTTCTCTACCAGGGTGTGTTTGTATGCTTCATGTAATTATATTAGATTTATATTCATATATATCTGAGGTATATACAATTATTCTCAAATAATTATTACTTTGATTCATTTTTATATATATCTGAATAAGTAGTCCTTTAATGTTTGTTTTGTTGTTGTTGTAAAAGATGGAGTACAGGAACTCTTGGATGTATGGTTCGTTAAGGTTCAAGGCAGGTTTCCGTGAAGAGGTGGATAAATTTATTGAAGCTGCAACGAAGAATGCAACGACATTGAAAGACAATAAGGATACAATTATTTGCCCCTGTAAAGATTGCAAGAACCGTATGGCATGGATAGATGTAACTATCATCAGATCACATTTGATTATGCAAGGATTTGTTGAGGACTACACAGTGTGGATTCATCATGGTGAAACGGTTATTGTTAACGACGAGGATGAGGAGGAATACGACGACGAAACCATAGAATCCCTGTCCCAATATTCAGCAGAGCTTGATGCACGAATGGATTTTGAGTTTGGCAATGAACAAGGTGGTGATGCTGGTGGTTGGGATGGTAACGACGAATGTGGTGCCAATAATGATGGTGGAGCATGTGTCGGAGTTGAAGATGATTTAGATGACATGATTCGAACCCTTGGACCAGAGATTTTACTAAATAGCCCAAAAGGTCTAGAAAATTTGGAAAGAGTGACAAAAGCATCGAAGGAGACTGTGTATGGTGTTGAAAAGGGTTGTCCGACACATTGGACATTACTACATTTTGTGCTTGAGCTGCTCATCCTGAAGGCTAAGTACGGCTGGTCAGACTGTAGTTTCAATGATCTATTGCATCTCCTGTCATGGGTGCTGCCACAACCAAACTCAGTTCCCGCCAACACGTACCAAGCGAAGAAGGTCATAAGTCCATTGACAATGGGGGTTGAAAAAATACATGCATGCCCCAACCACTGTATACTTTTTCGTGGCGAAACGTTCAAGTCATTGGATAAATGTCCCCGGTGTGGGGCCAGCCGGTACAAGAACAATGACCTTTACGGTGGGGACGAACCATCCACGAGGAAAAAGAGGAATAAGAAGGGTACAAAAAAGGTGGTACAAGAATCTCAGCCCCCAGAGGACACTCCATTAGGCAACGATGCAAAGCAGAGAAGAATTCCTGCCCTGGTAATGTGGTACCTGCCAGTGACCGACCGCTTGAGACGTATGTTCCTAAACCCTAAAGAAGCCGCACTCATGACATGGTGGGATGATGAGCGCAAGGTGGATGATGATAAGATTGCACACCTGGATGATTGTAGTCAGTGGCAAAGGTTTGATGAGAAGCACAAAGAATTCAGCAATGACCCAAGGAATGTATGGTTTGGCCTGAGCACCGATGGAATGAATCCCTTCAATGAGAGGATGAGCAACCATAGCACATGGCCAGTGATCTTGACCATGTACAACATTCCAACATGGTTGTGTCAAAAGAGAAAGTACCTTCTCCTCACTATTCTTATTTCTGGCCCTAAACAACCAGGCATTGATATAGACGTGTTCCTTGAGCCCTTGATGCAAGAAATGGAGAGGCTATGGAGGCATGGGGAGCAAATGTATGATGCTTTCTGAAAGGAGGACTTCATATGTAGAGCAATAATATTTGTTACTACCAATGATTACCCCGCGCTGTTTGCTTTGTCTGGACAGATCAAAGGGAAGATGGGATGCTTGGTTTGCTTGGATGGTACTACATGGGTGTACTTGGATGCATCCAAGAAGATAGTTTACCTAAGGAACCGACGCTTCTTAAAGACAAGTCACAAGTACCACAGCAAATTGTTCTTTAGATTTTATGACAACGCCCTGGAGATTGAACCCCCTCCGGAGAGACGTCATAACGGAGAGCATGTGTACAGAATGGTGAAAAACATACGCGTCGTCTATGGAAAGAAGAATCCGGATGGGACGAACAGAGATAGAAGCACACCTCTTGTCGAAGGCGTACCTTTCAAGAAACAATCGATCTTCTTTCAGTATCTGCCTTATTGGCCAGACTTGGAGGTCCCCCATGCCATTGACGCTATGCACGTGCAGAAGAATGTCTTTGAGAGTCTCATTGCTACCTTGATGGACACAGGCAAGTCAAAGGAAGGTCTGAAAGCACGGAAAGACATGGTGCAGCTAAACGTGATGCCATAGCTTCACCCGATACCTAAGGCTAATGGAAAATACACTCTACCCACGGCGTGCTTCAACCTAACACTAGACGAGAAGAGAGCTATATGCACTTTCCTAAGGGGGATCAAAGTTCCGACTGGGTTTTCAGCAAATATGAAGAAGCTAGTGTCGATGAAGGACTTGTCAATAACACACTGCAAGGCTCACGATTGCCATGTGATGCTGACAGTGTTTCTACCTATTGCAATTAGGGCTATAAAGCCAGAGTTCTTGAAAATGGCCATCACCCGCATGTGCTACTTATTTTCGAAGATCTCACAGAAGACGATTAGCAAGGAAGAGCTGAGTGACCTACATGAATTTGTGGTGGAGACACAAAACCAACTGGAGATGTGTTTACCTCCTGCTTTTTTTATATAATGCCACATCTCATGATTCACATGGTTCATTAGATACAGGCGCTTGGCCCTTGCTACTTGCATGAAATGTGGTCATATGAGCGGTTCATGTCAGTTTTAAGTCGATACGTGCATAATCGAGCATACCCAGAGGGCTCCATGATAGAGGGTTACAAAGATTGAAGAAGTCGCCGAGAGTCTTGTCAAGAGTACCTAAAAGTACTGAAAAGGGATTGGTAAACCCGATTCTTGTCACAAGGGTAGGCTTTGGTGGGAAAGGGCACCAGTGGTAGAAAAGTGTTCATCGACCATGATTACAAAGAGGTGAGTCGGGCGCATTACAGTGTCTTGCAGAGTACACAACTAATGCAACCGTATATTGATGAACACTTGGCTATCATTATGGCGGAGAGAAATGGTCGTTCGGATGATTGGGTCATGAAACAGCACAAGCAACGACTAAC